ACAACTAACCTAGCAGCAAGAAAGAAATAACATAACATAACAATAAAAGACAACTAACCTAGCAGCAAGAAAGAAATAATCTAGCAACAAAAGACAACTAACCTAGCAGCAAGAAAGAAATAATCTAGCAACAAAAGACAACTAACCTAGCACCATCAGACAACTAACCTAGCAGCAAGAAAGAAATAACCTAGCAACAAAAGACACAGAAAATGCTCCTCCTTCTCTCTAACTTTCTCTCTCTACTGTTTGTTCAATCCAGATTCGGCCTATACCACCGCCTGCCACCTCACCTCCGCCTATAGCACCGTCTACCTACCCCCACCGGCCGCCTCCGGCGGCCACCCCGGCCCTCCGGCCGCCGGGCCCTTTTCTCCCTCAACCCCTTCTTCTTCTCCGCTTAGCTCGCGGACATGGCGCCCCCAAATCGGACAGCCATTCAACCTACAGTGCAAGATCGGACCAACATTTCACCAAACATGCTAAGCATCCTCAAACTTCCTGAAGTCCAACAGATTATCGCAGCTATTTTGGACAAAAGCTCAAATTCGGAGTTTGGGCGGATTCAAAATTGTTTGTCCAAATTTTCGAGTCCTCCTACTGTGTTAGAGGAAAGGGAATCTCTTGCACCAAACCTTACACCAAACCTCCCCGCGACCACGACCGGCGTCATCTCCCTCTCCGCCGCCAAAGATACGCCACCGACAGCTACCCTCCCCACGCAGCAGCTCGACATCAAAACACCGGAAAGCTCCGCCGCAAAGAAATCTTTCTCGCTAGCGACCGGTGCTTCAGCGCCCTCCAATCCTACCGTCGCCGGAGTTCCTCAACTGGAAAGCTTTGGTTCCCTGCAAATGGCCAACAGAAAAGACGACAAGCTCTCGGTCAATCCAAGTTCCAAACCTACCCCTCATCCCAAATCAATCCATTTGAACGGGCCAAACAAATTTGGGCCACTCCCACTCCCAAGGCCCAAATCATCTCCATCCCTAACCAACCATTTCTTTGGCCCAGCAAATTCACATCATAACATATCATTGGCCCAACTGACCCCACCTTTGGATCCTTCCTCTTGCGGACCAGCCCAACACACCATTCAAGCCCAAAACGCCCAACTCAACCAACCCAATCTCCAGCCCGATTCTAACCACCCTCAAGCCCCCTCCACTGCTCGTTTTCTCGCCATCACCTCCCAGCGACATGAAGACCTGCCGTTTGCCGGCGACAGTACCGTTAAGACCACCGGAAAATTGCAACTGGCCGGAGCTCCGGCAAGGGCGGGTCTCGAAGTGAATTTTGAGAAAGGTATTCTCGGGCCCCGGCCAATTCTCCCTTCCGAGCATTTTGTAAAAATGGCTCCTCCTGCCGCTGACGATACAGAACAGGATATTCATGAAGATGGGGTGGTCGTTGCGGCCATCACCTCCCAAACGGAACCAGACGGACACCTCCCCTGCGCCGGCACCGGTGCCGGCATGGCCACCGGCAAATCCCAGTCGGCCGGCAATACTTCCGGAGCTACACCCGAGTTTCTTCCTACGGATGGTATCCTTGGCCCCCGACCAAATTCATCCCTCCCAGCCGAGCATCGTGACGGTATAACCATTGTTGCTTCCGGGGCGATTGCTGCGGGTCCTGGCAAGACGTCAGCGGCCAATTTTTCCGGACCTTTACCGAATGGGACACCGCCGACGGGTCAGCCCACAGCTAACACCGGGCCTCAATCGGGCACCTCCAATGGCCCGCTTTCGTTCCGGGAGGCTATTACCGGGAGAAGAAATGGCGACACGGGCGCTCCGCGGCCATCACCCAAGGACTTTAATTTTGACGGAGAATACGAACATGCTTGCGGGACCATTATCCGCTCGGAGGGGAACAAAGTGAAGGCCCGATACACAGACGCCGAATCTGTCGCTCTCGCAGGTAAATTAGCTAACACCCTGATCTTTAAGTTTTCATATGCTATCCCTGCTCCCCGAGAGATATCTGCTGGTCTAGGCAAATTGGGTTTTAAGGGTAGAGTATCTTCTAAGTGGTACAATTTCAACCACCTTCTAGTGTCTTTCCACCTCCCCGAGGACTATAATGAGGTCTGGCTTAAGACTTCCATTCATTTATGTGGATGCCCAGCTAGGGTGTTCAAATATTATGCCGGGTTTAACCCGAAGACGGAGGCGCCTATCGTCCCCGTGTGGTGCCGTCTTCCCGGCCTCCCACCCCACCTTTACGATCGTGCTGCCATCACTACACTAGCTAAGTGTATTGGGCAGCCGATTCGTATCGACGCCCCGACGGCCCTTCAGACAAGGGCTAACGTGGCGCGATTTTGCGTAGAGATAGATCTGAGAGATGAGCTTGTTCATGAGATTGAGATTGAACAGGGCTCGGAGTCTCTTGTGCAGCGAGTGATCTATGAGAAGATCCCCGCGTTCTGCACCTCGTGCAGCCATGTGGGACATGTTGCGGCCGATTGCTACATCAGTGGCAATAAGCCACGGCCCGCCCTCCCGCAGCGCCATCGTGCGACCCAGCAGGGAACCTCTACCAGTCGGAGGGACCCGAAGGGAAAGGGCAAAAGCCCTCTCCGCGTGCCCGAGACCCCGAAGGGGTCTAAGGATAAGGGCAAGGCTGTGATTATCGATACTGCCCAAACTGGGAAGGACGCTCATCCTAACCAGCTTAAGCAGTTGGCCTTAGTGGGTCCCAAGCCCAAGTCCACGGGCTTTCTCCCTAGACAGACCTTACAGACGGCCTTCAAGGCCAACCACTCCTATTTTGCTATCCTATCCCCTGAGACCGAGAAGGAGTCTGTTCCTTCCTCCAGCAGGCCACCTAAGATTACCGACCTTACTATTATGGATGACGATGACCTCCTTGGAGACGACATGGACCAGCCGGACGCCACGGCCAAGAGAGAGTCCATCCACCTATCCGATGACAGCGCGCGCGATGATGGTCCTTTGACCGTACGCGCACCTAGCCCGGTCCGATCCTCGGATTCGAGGGCTACTGCTGCCACCGCCCCCCCGAAAGGGGAGGAGTCGGCCCATCCCCCCCTGATGAGATTCGGAGCTCGGTCGAGCTGATAGCCAGCTCTCAGCCCCTTCCTACCGGCGAGCACTCGAGTGCTCTGCCTGTTGGACCATCTCTTTCGCCCATCCCCGAGCAGATATGCGGGCTCAACCGCGCGCAGCATGACGTCTCGTGCGAGAGCTTCGCCTCTAGTGCTTTTCCTCACCTGGTCAGACAGGAGACAGCCCCGGATATGGGGCAACCCACTAGTGCTGCTATAGGTCAGTCTGCCCAGTCAGACGACTCACAGGCCACGAGTACATACCGAGGCAGACAGGCCTCGAGGACCAGAGCCACGCAGCACACGAGACGGCGGACGATCTCCCCTGCTATTGGACCCTTCCGCCGCACGACACGACGGATGACTTCCCATTCTTTAGGTGGCCCGAATCAGCCTCGCCATAGGCGGACTACGTCCGGTGGCTCTTGCGACCGTTGATATGTCCATCACATCCATTACTTGGAATGGCCGTGGCCTGGCGAATAGGGCTACTCTTTCTCACCTTCATTCTCTCATTCGTGACCACAGAGTCGATTTTGTTGGCTTTATTGAGCCAATGATTCGCACTCCTTCTTTTGACTACTACTCGCGTCTTCTGGGATTCCATTCGGGCGTGGGTAATATTTCGCACAAGATCTTCTTCTTCCACTCGCGTGACTACACTTGTCGGGTCCTCCGCGACACCGATCAGCTGCTTCACGTAGAGATTTCCGCTGCCCATCTCCCGGAGCCCATCTTTCACACCTTGGTTTATGCCAAGTGTACTAGGGTCGGGCGATATGATCTTTGGGACACCCTGCGTGAGATTGCCGAGAGTATGGAGGGATTGCCATGGATGGTTAGTGGCGATTTCAACATCTTTCTGCACCCCGATGAGCGCGTGGGTGGCCGCACGGACAGATCCCGCGAGATGTGGGATTTTGCGCAGACTGTGGCAGACTGCGAGTTGCTTGATGCTGGATGCGAAGGTGAGCCCTTCACGTGGGTTAGGGACAACCTCAAGGAGAGGCTCGACCGTGCTTTGATTTCTGAAGCGTGGTCGAAGGTGTTTGCGGTCACGACCGTCACGCACCTCACTCGATTTGGGTCTGACCATTCACCTCTCCTCATTAGATGTCGTTTTTCGAGCACTCCTCGCCGCGCTTCCTTTAGGTTCCAAAACATGTGGGTTCGCCACCACTCCTTCCACGACACTATCAGGGATTCCTGGCTTCAGCCGACTGGGCTCTTCGGGATGCGCAATCTCGAAGCGAAGCTCGGCAGACTGCGGCGTAGGTTGAGACAGTGGAACTGGGATGTTTTTGGAAACCTTCATCACCGCCTTACTGCAGCTCAGAGTGCGCATGCGTCGGCTGAGCGGGCCTATGACCTGGATCCCACTCCGGAGAATAGGACCGCCATGCACCGCTGCAATGCCGAGTACCAGCTCCGACTCCTTATGGAGGAGGACTTCTGGAAGCAGAAGGCGGCCGTTCGCTGGGTGGCCGAGGGCGAACGGAACACTAGGTTCTTCCAGGGCTACGTTAGGCAGAAGCGTGCTAAGTCGTACATCCATAGCATCGAGGCTAATGGGTCATCCTTGACCCAGGAGGCTCAGATTCGGGAGTCGGCTGTTGCTCACTTCCAGACCCTCTTCACCTCTGACAGAGGGTCCCTCGTGGCCCCGAACGCTTCTTTTTTCCCCACCATCCCTCCTTCGGTCGATCTCATTGGCCTCTGTGAGCTCCCGAGCAGGGAGGAGGTTAGGGATGCTGTATTCGGGATTGATCCCAACAGCGTTTCTGGCCCGGATGGTTTCTCCTCCCTCTTCTATCAGGTCTGCTGGGATATTGTCGAGACTGACGTCCAGGAGGCGATGTTGGACTTTTTCTCCGGCCACCGGATGCCGGATTCCTTCACGTCTACCTCTGTCGTCTTGATCCCCAAACGACCCAACCCGAGCTCTTGGTCCGATTACAGGCCCATCAGCCTGTGTAACGTGACCAACAAGCTCATTTCGAAGATTCTTAACGGCCGTCTTTCCCCTCTTCTCCCCTCTCTCATCTCTCCGAACCAGAGTGGATTCGTCAAGGATCGGGTCATTAGTGATAACATCCTTCTGGCCCAGGAGATGATCCACGACATCTCCCGAGCGGACTGGAAGCGGGCTCCGAATATCGCGCTGAAGCTAGACATGGCTAAGGCGTATGATAGGGTTGAGTGGCCGTTTCTTAGGGAGGCGTTGGCTAGGATGGGATTCCCTGAGCGTTGGATCAGCTTTGTGGAGGCGTGTGTGGAGCATTGCACGTTCTCGGTCCTGATTAATGGCAGCCCCACCGATTTCTTTCCCTCCTCTAGAGGCCTTAGACAGGGCGACCCCCTTTCCCCTTCCCTCTTCGTTCTTGCGGCGGACTACCTCTCTCGCTGCCTTGACGGCTTCATCCGCGACTCTCCCCATATGACCTATAGCACCTGTGGCTATGGTCCTACCGTCTCTCACCTCTCTTACGCGGATGACATCATTATCTTCACCCGGGCGGATGATGATGGACTGGTCGAGCTTATGCGCCTTTTGGAGCACTATGGCTTGGTCACCGGTCAGCTGGTCAGTGTGCAGAAGAGCACCTTCATCCTTTCATCTGCCACCGTGGACAGGTGGGCTCAGCGGGTCCACGACATTACTGGCTTTGCGCGTGGCGACCTTCCCATTACCTACCTCGGGGTCCCTTTATATAAGGGCAACCTCACGAGAGCGCTCTTTGCGGGCGTCAGACAGAGGATGATCGACAGGATCTCTGGTTGGTCGCATAGATATCTTTCTTTCGGTGGTCGGCTAGCGCTGATCAAGAGCACTCTTAGCTCTCTTCCGATTCACTTGCTTATGGTCCTCGACCCCCCTAGGTCTACTCTTGACGAGCTTGACCAGATTATGGCTCGTTATTTCTGGGGTTATGAGGACGGGTCTGGGAGGGGGAGACGTACTCACTGGGTGAGTTGGGACTCTATCTGCCGCCCCCTCCCAGAGGGTGGCCTTGGCATCCGCCGCCTTAGGGACATTGTTACAGCTTTCTCATACAAGCTGTGGTGGCGCTTCAGGGAAGGAAAGTCGCTTTGGGCTCAGTACCTTCGCGGCAAGTACTGCCCTAGACGTGCCAACCACCCTTGTTGGGTCACGGCTGTTGATCATGATAGCAGACAGTGGCGGCGCCTCACTAGGGTCGGGAGGCGAGCCCAGGATCACATCTTTTGGGTTTTGGGCGGGGGCGATGTCAGTGTTTGGGATGAGTGGTGGGTAGGTGATAGGCCGTTGTCTAGGGATAGGCAGGTGTCGCATTCCCCATACCTGCTCGTGAGCGACCTCTGGACGGACGGGTCGTGGGATAGGGGGAAGCTTGATAGGGAGTTGGGGGCTGGTGCGGGTTTTAGCGAGCAGTTATTAGATCAGATCCAGCAGATCCCTATCTCGGGGGACGGTTCAGATAGCATGAGGCGG